CGTGGGCGGTTGTGCATTTACGTGGAGGTTCATATTACTGATGACATGAAGCACATGATTTTGACTGAAATCTCTTAACGGTATATAAGCTGCATACACCGTATTCATATGCTGACAATATCCTTTTAAACCATAGTTAATTAATGTATTTACCTGGTAATCAACTCTGTCTGTTTTAGTATGTCAGCTGGCGGGGCTACACTTTGTACTTATAGTGATATAGTGTATATCGTTTTATTATCATACGCTCTCTTTGTGTTGTTTCTTGAGTTTGAATTTTACGATAACGGCGAGCTGTTATGTCCATATTAAATCTTTCAGAAAGGCTAATTGATTTATTATCAAAACAATAATAATTTTAATGATAACAACGACCAATATATAACTTATTAAAAACTTTGTTGAAACAAGAAATGATTTTACATGAAGAATACATAAAAATGACTCTCGAAGTTATTCTAAAAACAGAAAAGGAAAAATTTTGTTAAGAAGGGACATAATTATCGAAATAAACTGTAAGGTATTTTCTTACAATTATCTAGACCGGGTAAGATTATGAATGTCAATATGTAGTAGGTTTCCACTTCATCTAAAATATTTATCCGACATTAAAGACGTACCATTTAGTAAAGTTTCTAATATTATTCTGTTAAATAAATCCCATTTGATGTAGTGGTTATGTTATACTTTGTAACTTTTGTAATGTGATTTCTTACTCTGACGTCAAGGAAGTTTTATTTATTGTGTCACAGTTACGTAAAAGACGTAACGTCACAAATTGAAAATGTCCTGTTCTTGCTAGCAGCGAGAAACCAAAGAAAGTAAATATTGTCTCTAATGAATCTGAGCTTGCTGGTATAAGCTAGAAAGGGTCGACAAACCACATTTTAAAGATGAAAAACCAAATTTAACATACTGATAGTGAATGCAGAGAGTATGACTTAAAACTTAATATAAATGGTATTTTAGACAAATTCTTTTCAATATATATAATCTACATTTGATCTCTGCCACTGATACCACAAATGTAGTGAAAGGCGATATCTGAAGTTCTCTGGCACTGCTTTTAGCATTGTGGCTAAGATATTTAGATTGAAGTTGTTAAACTGCATAACGGTTAGTAATGCATTTTAGCACTTTTTATCCATGCTATTTAACACAAAGGATAACAGACATAGTGAGTGGGTCCAGAGGAAAATCATAATATCGTCTCTTATCACAACAGTGACTTTTACATTATAGCGCATGAAATGTGAGGCAAATTATTGAAGACGCATATCTCACTGTGATGAAGGGATATGTTAAATAGCGATTTTCAGAAAAGTTTCCCTTTACCATTGCATGTAATTTGTACATGTGTTTATTGGGAAGATGCACCTTGATAGGCCAAAAAAGGACTTGGCCGAGCATGGAGTTTTGCCACCGAATTAAGTTGGGAGAAGTGTGTTCGTGAACACTAAAAATTGTAATTTTCGTTTAATATAAATCATGTCAAATATGGGTCATTGTGTTTCACAATGTCATCATCCAGTATAAAACTTATTTGTTATTTCTTTTGGACACACTTATTGTCCGTATTAACAAAAAGTTCATAGTTAAAAACGAATGCATAGCCATATAGCTAGCCTAGAAACCAGCAGCTACGTCAGTCTACATGGCATCCTTAAAATAACCCGTATAGTGCTCTTGCAGGCATTGGGTGCTTTTATTACAGATGCAAGTTAGTATCCTTATGCTTCGCCATTGATTTAGTCGCTAAAGCTGGGAAGCGTTTACAATGTGCAGGAAAGGAAAAGTTGCTTTGAATATCACAACGCAAATAAACAATAGAAACGCATTGATATTTGTGATTTATGCATTTGAGGGCTGCTTTTCTTTTTTATTGATCAATTTATTGTATTGCGATATTGTTACTTTAAAAATACGTGTTTAATGCATTTTCCTTTGAATACAATTACGAAGGTATTATCAAGAAACTAATATGACGAAAAAACAAATAATCTCAATTCTTTTTATCAGTTGATTGTGTGACAAGGAGTTCAAGTATTCAGAGAAATTTCTATTTTCCTCGTTGACTAATATTGCCTTAAATAGATAAGAAAACATTCTACAAATTATATTTAAGGAAAATCTTTATAACTTTGTTGGGTTATGAAATGATATCTCTAGTTGAGCACTTTTTAATAATTATATGACGAATCAATTTATGATACATTTACTTGTACTCAACTGGAGCTATCACATAATAACCTGACCAAAACAGAAAACTTTTCATTATATTTACAGTCCATTTCTGTGAACTATTTTATTCAATAGTCTAATCAGCGTGCATAAGTTTCATTTCCCAAATTTGTTAACTTGTGATCAGTTCTGTTAGTGTAATAGGCTGAAATTTGCATAAATCATGGTCAACTCCGCCCTCATTTACTGCTGATGATGTCACACCACTTGCTTCATCAGCGGAAAATTTGCATATATCCGTCCACATTGTTGTCGACGTTATGATCCTTAACAACATCGAAGGCAGCCAATGCTTCAGCTTGCCAAGAGCATGATTCCTGTCAAGAGTGCATATAAACCAATTACAATATTCCTGAGGTAATCAAAAACCTGGTAGGAATGACTTATACGATCCTTATCAGTTATTCATACTTGCGGCTTGACTGTATCAAAATAAAGCACTAAAGTTTATTGCAGTAATGGTAAATAGTATTTATACTTAAAGTTTCCATAACATATAACAATTTTTCCTCAAAAATAATTAAATAAACATGACAAAAAAGATCGACCTTCATATCGCTTAAAGATGCCGACCAGAAAGATATCCATTGTTTTCATCAATCTGTATGTCTCGACATTTAAAATCACTGATATAATGCCGTTAACTAGAAATGCTTTGTCAGGTTGACATCTGTTAGAGTGCTTCTGGTCTCGGCTTTAAGTATGCTTAGTTTCCGCTCTTTTGCATTTGTCTCTTAAACAGTGGTCATAAAAAACTCCAATTCAGAAATAAAGTTCAACCTTTATTATCCGAAAAAAGGAAAACCAAATCACAACGGCAGATTGAAACAGTATGCTTGAAATTATTGGTGAATTCATATCAACAAATTTTATTCATGATAGTATATACATGGGATCGAACAATATGCTTTTGCCAAAATAAGTTCTCTCCTGCATACATTTGTATGAAAATTGAAAAATAATAATTATATATATAACATATATCAATGTGTAAGTCAATGGCATAGGGGAGATAATTGAAACTGTTTATAGAAATTACAGGTCAAACTGTGCTGTCTTGACCTCACCAGGGTAATGAATGAATGTTAGCCCTCTTCATTCACTAGATCCTCCCTAGGAATTCAATATCTACACAGAGTGACTCGTAGATAGTTAAATATAAAGATGATATACATTGAATATCATGAATAAGATATGCCAATATTGTATGGTATATTAACACTCAAATGATAATATGTTAACAATATAATTATACAACTAATTGTTAATTTTGATTTATGGGGTGATCATATCAAATTCACATTGTGTTTATTTATAAATGTTTAACGCTTTTGATAACAGCAAGTAGTAGATCACTTAGCGTTTTTGAACATCTTTTAACTTGAATCTTTATGTTTACAATATAAGTACGTTATAGTATAAGTTTATAACTTCATAATAGGAAATTACATTTATATAAACCTTTTAGACACGTGAGTTAGGTGAATAAGTATAAGAATCAGAAGACATAGTTCAAAATTACCCAGATGCATAAATTCTAGGAATTTTACGTTCTCAAATATGAATAGTTACATATGATAGAACCAGAGAGTTCCACACACATAACAAATATGGTGTAAGAACATTATAACGGTTCTTGGTAAAAAGTCCAAAATATTTTATGATCATGAAAAATTAAAAAGAAATCAGGGTAAGAAGTATGACATATTAGTGACAATAAACATTCTTATTTTGAAAATTTAATTTTGACATACCTATACAATTATTACAGAAAGTGTAAATCCGACCTTTGCTCTTTGCACCCCTGGCATATGTCATAGCATAATTGCAGGTTCAGTGTACACCACTTTGTTGATGAGACAAGAAGACTAGTCGGATCCTTTGATAAACATCAAAATAATCTGTTGGTCGCGTAATGGTAAAATTGACTAGCTTTGAAGTCGAGTGTTGCTCCTCTGTAATCTTCAAAGGACAAGTGTCAGCCTAGCGAATGGTCATGAATATCTTTTACGTGAAACCTATCAAATAGCTAGCCGCGTGCTTTACATTTTGATTTGGTAAACCATGGGAACAGAGAGCGAAAGTGGGCGTAACCCTTGGAGTATCGATGATGATTTCAGGGGCGCGGAGAGCGAAAGTGAGCGTAAGGATGATGTTATGGTAGAACTTTATCAAGAACCAAAGGAAAAAACTAAACCTGAGATTACAGAATATGTTCTAATTTGTGGGCGCCCTCCACATGTTACATTTGTGTCAGTTTGCATGAATTAACGTGCGTTGGGGACACAGTCGATAGTGTAAAACACATATACTGAATGTTGAACTCAACAACTTATACCATAGTTCATCTTCTGTACAACGCCTTTGATGTATTCTGTCAAATAAAATATGTTTAAATACACGAGAAAAAGTATTGATTATGTGTTTATAAAGATGTTTACAGTCAACGATACATCTTCAATAAGATTCATCAATTTGGAAATATGCGATATCGAGGTTTTCTTTTCTACATAAACATTTTAGTATTAAACGTGTCGCAACGTTAATAGCTTGACAAAGGGACCAGCCGGTCTTGAAACGGTGCGACACGTTTAATACGTACACTGTTGGTGTAAAAAACCCACTTGATATCAATCAACGAAACAATATCATGTACACTCCAAATATCAATTCACAAGGACTTGAAGATATTTGCTAAACAGTCAAAAGTTTCTATATGTTTTTATACACCTTAGTTTGTATATTTAGATCCAGGGACATCTCCATGTTTTCGTAAGGTACGTGTAGTTGTTTTACTTCGAATTATTTTCACCTAACGATCGGACCTTGATTGTAGTTCCAAACAGCGAGAAATTCAATTCATAATAAACACGTGAGAGTAAGCATGACGATACATATTGCATACATATCGGAATACCGCATCGTCAACTCACAAAGAGAAAAATCAATCTCTGAAAGCAATTTAAAAGGAAAACTTCGGTAATTGAAGAAATTTATAAATGAAAAAATAAAAAAGACGTCGTGAATCCTCATAAAAACTGAATGGCGAAGGAGAAGCGTTTCCGGTACCAAAATTAGCAATAGTCATAATGTAATTAGTCAAAACCTTTAGGTATGTAGTTCAATAACTTTCTGACGCATAGAAACCAATAATGCAATGCTGACAGACGCTGGGATTCAGAAGATTGAAACAATGAAAAGATATAAATAATGAAGAAAACTCTGGCAAAAACGTCCATTATCTTTGTTAGACCAATTAAATCTTCCAAAATACCATCAGGTCGAATTACGCTACATATATGAGTTAATTTACATGTAGCTTGTTGGTTTAATGTATATCACAAGCAACCTCCACATTAATGAGTCACTTAATCTTTCATTATATCATCGCCGTTTTGGAACTGATAACGAAAATATGTACCTAAATAAATTTAGACATTTCGAGTAGGATTACATAACAGCGTGTAGGTGTGCCATTTGTTGGCTCCAGTGAGTTTAGTTTCTGGCCACAATACAGTGTGCACAGAAAATGTAATTAAGTATTATTCCAATTGCCATACCGTCATACAGATACGTTCCTATGGTTGCCAGATTCATGTGTACTTGAAAACCTCCACTCGACCGCTTGTCTTTCCGATCCACAATTCGTCTTGGCTAGAAAAGACGAGGTTTCTCAGGCCATCGACTTTACCAAGATATTGAAGTATTTGTCCGTAACTGTCTATTATCTCGATAGAACCTGAAACTAAATCTCCCAGTACTATGTTATCGTTGGAATCAAAACCGACACAAAAATGTTTGGTTGAGATGTCTGGTAGGTACTTTTCGTCACCAGGAATGACCCGTCCATCACTGAGGTATCGAAACTTCACTTGTAGGTCCCCGGTCATCACCATCAGGTGACCATGAAAAGCTCCTTCACTGCTTTTGTTGGTGTGGGTAGTTATAGCCACCATGTTAGATACTCGGCTTGCGGCTATATACTTAGGATGGATGATGTTACCGAATCGGTCCCGCTCAAAAGTGACCATCCTTTTCCCTTGTGGTGTGTACCGACTCACGGCTCCAACTATGTCGGGGAGGGGATCTTTGAAGGATGATAAAAGTGTGACTAAGATGTCACCATTACTTGCAACACATATTTTGTTAGGCATTAGAGGAGCTGTACTGAAGGTATCCAACTGTTTACCGTCCAATGTCATCTTCTCCACACTCAGTTTATCACAAAAGCCAACGAGTAGACATTTGTCATCGGTAATTACCATTCCACGAGGTTCCGATTCATACACTAGACGGCAGATTAATACACCTTGTTCATCACAAACGTATATTTGATTTTCCCGAAACACAGCTATATACGACTGATCTTTCTTGGAGAGTGCAACACATTTGATAGAACCCCCATTCCCAAGTGAGAACGAGGAGACTGACTGCAGTGATTTCTGTCTATAAACAGTACCCACAAAGTCCGATGTGTCATCGTCTGTAAATCTGCTTCTAGATTCACATTGCTGTAGGGCTGATAAGGAACCCGTGGCAAGAGTCTTATTGATCTCACCTGCTCCTATGTCGGGTGTGGTATCCTTGGGAAGACTTTCTACTTTTGGTGTCGTCATCGATTTCTTCTCGTGTTGGATGATCTGTAGAAAGTCCTCAGTTTCCAGAATATGTCCCAATCTTTCTTCTGATGATGTTACAATAGCGTTTCTACTGGTTGTCTGCTCCATGCTATTGATTGTTTCCATCTCTCTCTTCTGGTCCTCTAGGAAGTTAACGTTTGCCATGGATGCATCATGGAGTCGTTTCTCTGCCGCTTTTCCGGCTTCTTCTACTGTCGCCATTTTGTGTCCATTGTGAGATCCCGCTATACAGAGTACACAAACAAAGCAAGACTCACATTGCTTGGCTCGACACACCATGATGACGGTCTGGTCAGCATGCACCGAACACTTCATGATGTCACTGTGAACATAGAAAGTACCGCGTGTTCAATATGTCATTGTACTAAATTAGTAAATTTATTAAAGTGTTGATAACGACATTATTATATACAAAGTAACACATGATTATTATGTAGTTGTACATACTGGATATCTATATCATATGAAATATTTTTTTCTGGTCTAATATGGTGGCATTATTTACTATAGACACACGATACTTCTATATTGTGAATTTTCAAAAGAAATACACGCAAATTACTAAGGAAAAGAAAATGTATCTTAAAAAGCATCTCGTAAAAGATGTATTTCATTATATGAGCATGTATTTCAGGGTCACATCAAAGTACAACGGGGTTATGTTGACATAATTCGAAAATCTTAAAAAAAACCCGCTAGTTTTGTATAGTTTTCCAGCTCACCAAAAATGTGTGTTGGATAGCTGAAGAAACCCTAGAAAGATCAGGTTTCGAGCAAAATTATATAACATTGTTTAAAGGGTTTTTCTTTGGTAATAACATATAGGGAAATAATTGTGGTCTGAGGCCGACTATGGGCACGCACGTGTGTTTCCGCCCTGAATTACATTGGACCTCGAACAATATATACACATATGCCAAGTTTTAATACCATTCACAGTGCAACATGAAGACATTTACCTGTACCTGAGCACATGTACATATCGTGTTTTTCCTGCGTGTGTCGTTCGACTAACTAATACAGTATTTTTCTAATGCTCCAAGTCGTGCATGATGTTCAGAGTTACTGTCCCCTGAGTCAACGTCCTGTCTGGTGTTATGACGTAGCAAATAAACTGTAAAGAAGCTGATATATATACAATAGGTACAATAGGAATTACCTGAGCCTGATCGGTACGATGTGTTTCTTCTTCGAATCTTGTCTGTTGACTGGGAATACAACCAAGCTTAGACAGTATTATCCGAGATTGTCTGATCTGTTATAGGATTTAAACGGACGGTGGCCTTGGTCTCGGTATCGAAGTAAGGTTTAGTACTTTACGGTTCATTTTGTTGTATCATAAATAGACTCATTGTGTTAATATGCAATTCATACCATTCCGAGAACGGTAAATACGTTAAAAGAAAAAAAACCCAATTGTATTCATGCACCTACTAAGCGCTTGATAACCTGTCTTTCGACGAACAGTCCCACAGTCACATAGACAAACAACCTTCAGAGGTCAAGACTCTGTTCTTACACATCAAACAAGAGAACACTACTGCACGTTGGCTGAACATTGACGAAACGCTCATTGGCATTGCACTCAGTTCGCTTGGACACAAATACAAATGGAAAGTCCTCCCATAAGCCTTATTCGTAGCTTTTCTCACAAACAAAAATCGACTCCAACCACAATCCCCGATAACTTCATATTTGCCGTCTCTTATACAAATATTCCACAACTCAGCTTCATAGCTTGACATTTCCTTACATTATGACATGACAATTATGATCACTTCACTTCCAAACTCTATACAAAAAAGACGAATTTAATTTTAAATGATTTTCAGTTTTCCTTTAGCTGTAGTAGCATGCCAGTCACCCCAACTTATAGAGTTCACATATCACAGGCAGTGACAAAATGTACTGAAAGGATAAGGTCTGCTGAGCTATGTCTTTTACCAGAGGAGACCAGAACTGTTATGGTCATCATGACATGATGTCTATCATGATAAGTGACCTGCTCTTAGATCGTTTGTGACCTAAGTAGCTTCTGAATATGACGAATGCCATTGTGATGCCGGGCATAGTTGTGCAGAGAATGGGAGGAAACAGACCAGCGAGACTGGAATGATACGCATGCAAAAGAATTTTCTGGGAGATGAGGTGTTTACAAATGCACATCGTACAATGCTCCGTTGCCAGGGAAAGCCAGCAGGAGGAATATACACCCAGGGACCAGAGGAATTACGGGACGGACAAGTGCAGGGTGATGACGATGGCGATGTATAGGTTCCTCCTCACAGAGTTATTTATAGTTTTGCTGGGGATTAGCATCGTTATTAACGCCGGCGTAACGCCAGCTCTACGCCAGCAACGCCAGTTAGCGTCGGGCGTATTTACCCAAAGCTATACCAAGAGCCGTACTCCCATCATGAATGTAGTGTACTTATAATTTGTATTCTATGTATATATATCCTGTGTTGTGTCGTACTCCTAAAGGTAAATAAACCCTCTATATGTAGATGATTGTTGTTGTGAATTCTTTAAATAAGACACGACTACGCCAACTTGGCAGGGAGGTTCGAGAAGCGGCAACGGAAGTGGGCAACACATCTTACTTCCCATAACAAATTCTAGGCTTGGTTGATGCTGCGTTCGTTGGCTGTATACACCCCCAATCAATCTGTTGATGGTTGAAGTCACCAAGTAGTAATATGCGCGAGTATCCAGCTTAACAGATTTTTTAAAATAGTTCCAGTAATTGGTTGGTGTCCTCAGTATCAGTCTCCCGTATACAACATATCAGTCGTCATTATCTACTAGTTTAACAGTATAGTGTATGTCCAGACCTAATTCCCCATTTTTGTTTTCTTTCAAATAAATGATAGCACTATAGTTGATTAGGTCATATATGACAGACATGTAGCAGATTCCAGTAAGTCAAATTAGGTCAAGGTGATAGCTTGTTGAACATCCTTCATACTTTCTAAGATAATGCTAGGGCATCTCAATTTGTATATAAAAGCGAACGTTTTTTGTTGTACTGCAATTTCTTCTAGTATGTTGCCGGTTTCATTAAAACATGAGACCCAATGGCCTGAATAGCTAACCTGGTTTTATTCTCACACCAGTAACCTTCCAGGTGGGCAAAGGATAAACTTTTAAAATGGGCTAAACTAGGCAACAGTTCAAATATCACCATCCTGGGCCTTTTAGTTATTGAGAAGAAGTAGTTCTATAAAGATTTTAACACATTTGACCCCTGTGACCTTAAAAGCAGGCCAAGGTCTTTTGAATAAACATGGTCTTTTGGGTATTGATAAGTTGTTTAAAGATTTTAAGATATTTGACCCCTGCAACCATGAAAGGGGTCAAAGTCATTTATCTGAATAAATTTGGTAGCCATTCATCCCAGCATGGTACTGGCAATATATATCATCACCTTGAGCCTTTGAGAATATATCGTTTGGACATTTTTCTTAACATTGGACACCAGTGACATTAAAAATGGGTCAAGGCTATTCATTTGAACAAATTTGGTAGTCCTTCAACCCAGCATGATACTGGAGAAGTTGTTCAAATATTTTTTAACATTGGATAAAGGTGACATTGAAAGTTGGCAAAGGTCAATCATGACAATCTTGGTAACCCTTCATCTGAACATGCTATTGGCAAGATATCTTTACCTCTTTGCATTTTGGTTATTCAGGAGAAGTTATTTTTTTTATTCATTTAACTCCAGTGACCTTGAAAGTTACTCCCGGTCATTCATTTGAAGAAATTTGGTATCCCTTCATCGCAGCCTGCTACTGGCATGATATCATCACCTTGTGCTTTTTTGTTCTTCAGAAGAACTTTTTTTTTTTTTTTTTAAACTTTTGACCCCAGTGACCTTTTAAGTGGGTCACAGTCATTCATTTCAACATACTATGTAGCCCCTCATCCCTGCATGCTACTTTCACTTTCTGTGAAGTATTAAAATATTTGATCTTTGACCCTGTACTTTGTCTTGACTATGTGAATAAGGAAACATAAGAATTTCATTTATGTATACGTATAAAGGTAATGATGACACAAAGAGTTTTTTTTAGTAAATTCTAATAAACTCTTTGTGTCATTTCTTACAAACTTAACCATCAAAAGCACTCTGGATAGAAATCACAGCCCTTCAGAAGTCATTTCATGTGTTTATTGTGTAAGACAGTCTTCATTAATAAGCCTTAAGGATCTAAACCACAGGCATATTGGTTTCCGTGCACTACGGAAGAACAGACAAATTTAAGTTACTAAATCTTGTTTGAAACGCATATATGTATTGACAATCTATACGCCAATTTTTTGCCATTTTAGACAAGTTTGTGAAGTATCATCATCTTTGTTGATCAAGAAAGAAGCAGCAGCCACATTGGTTTGCAATGCAGATCAATTTTATTTAAAATTGTGTCAAACAGGGTTCACTTCACTTATTACATAATTATGTTACAGTGGTCATAACACAATGGAGATGTGATAATCAAGTCATCTTCCTTAAACAGTAGATAATCTAGCCATCTTAGCTTACAACAGAAAATTTAGCCACCTACATTTACAGTAGAAAACCAGTCACTTTCATTCAAAGTAGATAATCTTCCTACCTTAATTTCCTGCAGTTTACTGGGACAGCTTATGTAGAAAAGGCCCAATGTGTCCCTAAATACACTGACTAGATAATAGAACAAGACAAGTGGTTGCCAGGCTAACGAGGCTCAACCACATTCACAGTGGTGAAATAATCACAACACAAAAAGTTAAATTTAGCATGTGAAGCAAATCCACTACCAAGGTAAAACTTTATTCACAGACAAAAGATATGAAATTAAAGGTTTTCATCATAATTATTATATTGTTACATTTATTCTTTTGATCAATTTATCGTTAGGAGCTTCTCATTCGTGAACACTAGCACTGTTTGAAACGCTCTTTGCTATTCAACCTAAACACAAGGATCAGTCAAACAGAATTCATTAAGGGAAAGGTTTGAACATGATGACACGCCCCGAACACAAGGATCTGTCAAATAGAATTAAACAAGAGAATTTAATATGGGGTTAACATGATGACACGCCCCTAACTACACAATGACCTGCCACAGGAGAATGAAATAAACATAATGACACACCCTAACAACAAAGGACCTGCCAAGACAACATGCCCCTAACAACACAGGTGGTGTCAAATATTGTGTTTATACAAGAGAATGAAGTTAACATGATGACACACCCTTACAACATGATGACATGTCAAATATTGTTCACACATGGAAATGGGGTTAACATGATGACACTCCCCTTACACCCAATTGTAAGGAACTGCCATGATTGAAACTCCCCTATTGGCCTAACAACACAGGAGTTTTGAAACATTGTGTTTACACAAGACGATGAGGGTAGCATGAAGACACATCCTAACAACACAAGAATTCTAGTATTGTTCACACATGCAAATGTTAACATGATGACAAATATGCCCCTTACACCACAAGGAACTGTCATGATTGACTGGCACTAACACACAGGATTTGTCAAACATTGTGTTTATACAAGAAAATGAAGTTAACATAGAGACACACCCTAACAGCACAAGAAAATGTCTAGTATTGTTCACACATGAAAATGTTAACATGATGACAAATATGCCCATTACACCACAAGGAACTGTCATGATTGACTGGCACTAACACACAGGAGTTGTCAAACATTGTGTTTATACAAGAAAATGAAGTTAACATAGAGACACACTCTAACAGCACAAGAAAATGTCTAGTATTGTTCACACATGAAAATGTTTACATAATGACAAATATGCCCCTTACACCACAAGGAACTGTCATGATTGACTGGCACTAACACACAGGAGTTGTCAAACATTGTGTTTATACAAAAAAAAATGAAGTTAACATAAAGACACACCCTAACAACACAAGAAAATGTCTAGTATTGTTCACACATGAAAATGTTTACATAATGACAAATATGCCCCTTACACCACAAAGAATTGTCATGATTGACTGCAACAAATACACAGGAATTGTCAAACATAGTGTGTACACAAGCCAATGAGGTTAACATATAGACACACCCAAAAAAAAAAAAAAAAAAAAAAAAAGGACCTGTCAAACACTGTTTTCTAAAGAAAACACAGTTTACACGATGATGCGCCCCTATCAACACAAAGTCTGTCTGACTGTAATTCAGTCATTTTTCTTAAAACTAAAAATATAAAACACAATCTATTTGTGCTTACTTTGTGGTCAATCATGTGATATGTAAATGTGATTCTGCTGATATGCAGAGTTCATGACCTTGACGTATTAATGTATCACAGACAGCAGATTGTCACTTATAAGCTCTATACAAACACCAGGGTCTTCACACGTACAATAACACATCATATAAAGTAGGTAAACACATTTTACACCTTGACTTTTCACACAGTTCTGATTTTTTTCATTCTTTCTGAAAGCACATGATTTTTATCTGATATCAAATAAAGGCTGCTGTAATCATTCAGGTAAATAATGATACAGTCATTATCTTTTATACACCAAGAAATAACCCTGATGATGCCAGAGAGTTGTGTCTGACCTTGCTCCATAAGGAAAGAAGAATATGAGTCATACTCTTTCAGTGCCTTCAGAACATGTCTGAAATCGAATTCACTGTCAAAAGGTTTGTTTTCAATAGAAGATTGTGAAACATGTGAGAAAAAGTTTCCTGTAACAGATCCTGATAATTGTCTGTCAGGAATGAAATCGTGAGTAATTGATGAGAAGGAAAACGATGCTAATTGTCCAAGTGTTGACTGTCGTCAGTGTTTCCCACACACCCATTTCAGACTGGGATCAGTCAGTTGTTCTACTGTAGAGATAGAGCGGTGACAACACTGGCAACAATAAGCACGGCAACCTGAAAGTAAACAACAATTTCAGAGTAATATTGTTCAAATTCATTTTTAAAATCTTTTTAATAAAGTGCTGCATTACTGGCAGTAATGCATTACTGTTGCAAACATGCACATTTGTTTCAATTCCACCTGTTTTGTACATAAAAAATATGCTATATTCTGTACTCCTAGTCCTAGTAAACTGTAAATCCTATGGAGAAAAGGTACCAAGAAATAAGTGATCTAATAACCAAGTCGAAGATTATGACCATGCGCTGTCTTAAATTGTTGACAGGTCAACAGAAGTGTCCTAGCCCAACTGTGCTACAGCTATATCCAAACAGAAGTGTCCTAGCCCAACTGTGCTACAGCTATATCCAAACAGAAGTGTCCTAGCCCAACTGTGCTACAGCTATATCCAAACAGAAGTGTCCTAGCCCAACTGTGCTACAGCTATATCCAAACAGAAGTGTCCTAGCCCAACTGTGCTACAGCTATATCCAAACAGAAGTGTCCTAGCCCAACTGTGCTACAGCTATATCCAAACAGAAGTGTCCTAGCCCAACTGTGCTACAGCTATATCCAAACAGAAGTGTCCTAGCCCAACTGTGCTACAGCTATATCCAAACAGAAGTGTCCTAGCCCAACTGTGCTACAGCTATATCCAAACAGAAGTGTCCTAGCCCAACTGTGCTACAGCTATATCCAAACAGAAGTGTCCTAGCCCAACTGTGCTACAGCTATATCCAAACAGAAGTGTCCTAGCCCAACTGTGCTACAGCTATATCCAAACAGAAGTGTCCTAGCCCAACTGTGCTACAGCTATATCCAAACAGAAGTGTCCTAGCCCAACTGTGCTACAGCTATATCCAAACAGAAGTGTCCTAGCCCAACTGTGCTACAGCTATATCCAAACAGAAGTGTCCTAGCCCAACTGTGCTACAGCTATATCCAAACAGAAGTGTCCTAGCCCAACTGTGCTACAGCTATATCCAAACAGAAGTGTCCTAGCCCAACTGTGCTACAGCTATATCCAAACAGAAGTGTCCTAGCCCAACTGTGCTACAGCTATATCCAAACAGAAGTGTCCTAGCCCAACTGTGCTACAGCTATATCCAAACAGAAGTGTCCTAGCCCAACTGTGCTACAGCTATATCCAAACAGAAGTGTCCTAGCCCAACTGTGCTACAGCTATATCCAAACAGAAGTGTCCTAGCCCAACTGTGCTACAGCTATATCCAAACAGAAGTGTCCTAGCCCAACTGTGCTACAGCTATATCCAAACAGAAGTGTCCTAGCCCAACTGTGCTACAGCTATATCCAAACAGAAGTGTCCTAGCCCAACTGTGCTACAGCTATATCCAAACAGAAGTGTCCTAGCCCAACTGTGCTACAGCTATATCCAAACAGAAGTGTCCTAGCCCAACTGTGCTACAGCTATATCCAAACAGAAGTGTCCTAGCCCAACTGTGCTACAGCTATATCCAAACAGAAGTGTCCTAGCCCAACTGTGCTACAGCTATATCCAAACAGAAGTGTCCTAGCCCAACTGTGCTACAGCTATATCCAAACAGAAGTGTCCTAGCCCAACTGTGCTACAGCTATATCCAAACAGAAGTGTCCTAGCCCAACTGTGCTACAGCTATATCCAAACAGAAGTGTCCTAGCCCAACTGTGCTACAGCTATATCCAAACAGAAGTGTCCTAGCCCAACTGTGCTACAGCTATATCCAAACAGAAGTGTCCTAGCCCAACTGTGCTACAGCTATATCCAAACAGAAGTGTCCTAGCCCAACTGTGCTACAGCTATATCCAAACAGAAGTGTCCTAGCCCAACTGTGCTACAGCTATATCCAAACAGAAGTGTCCTAGCCCAACTGTGCTACAGCTATATCCAAACAGAAGTGTCCTAGCCCAACTGTGCTACAGCTATATCCAAACAGAAGTGTCCTAGCCCAACTGTGCTACAGCTATATCCAAACAGAAGTGTCCTAGCCCAACTGTGCTACAGCTATATCCAAACAGAAGTGTCCTAGCCCAACTGTGCTACAGCTATATCCAAACAGAAGTGTCCTAGCCCAACTGTGCTACAGCTATATCCAAACAGAAGTGTCCTAGCCCAACTGTGCTACAGCTATATCCAAACAGAAGTGTCCTAGCCCAACTGTGCTACAGCTATATCCAAACAGAAGTGTCCTAGCCCAACTGTGCTACAGCTATATCCAAACAGAAGTGTCCTAGCCCAACTGTGCTACAGCTATATCCAAACAGAAGTGTCCTAGCCCAACTGTGCTACAGCTATATCCAAACAGAAGTGTCCTAGCCCAACTGTGCTACAGCTATATCCAAACAGAAGTGTCCTAGCCCAACTGTGCTACAGCTATATCCAAACAGAAGTGTCCTAGCCCAACTGTGCTACAGCTATATCCAAACAGAAGTGTCCTAGCCCAACTGTGCTACAGCTATATCCAAACAGAAGTGTCCTAGCCCAACTGTGCTACAGCTATATCCAAACAGAAGTGTCCTAGCCCAACTGTGCTACAGCTATATCCAAACAGAAGTGTCCTAGCCCAACTGTGCTACAGCTATATCCAAACAGAAGTGTCCTAGCCCAACTGTGCTACAGCTATATCCAAACAGAAGTGTCCTAGCCCAACTGTGCTACAGCTATATCCAAACAGAAGTGTCCTAGCCCAACTGTGCTACAGCTATATCCAAACAGAAGTGTCCTAGCCCAACTGTGCTACAGCTATATCCAAACAGAAGTGTCCTAGCCCAACTGTGCTACAGCTATATCCAAACAGAAGTGTCCTAGCCCAACTGTGCTACAGCTATATCCAAACAGAAGTGTCCTAGCCCAACTGTGCTACAGCTATATCCAAACAGAAGTGTCCTAGCCCAACTGTGCTACAGCTATATCCAAACAGAAGTGTCCTAGCCCAACTGTGCTACAGCTATATCCAAACAGAAGTGTCCTAGCCCAACTGTGCTACAGCTATATCCAAACAGAAGTGTCCTAGCCCAACTGTGCTACAGCTATATCCAAACAGAAGTGTCCTAGCCCAACTGTGCTACAGCTATATCCAAACAGAAGTGTCCTAGCCCAACTGTGCTACAGCTATATCCAAACAGAAGTGTCCTAGCCCAACTGTGCTACAGCTATATCCAAACAGAAGTGTCCTAGCCCAACTGTGCTACAGCTATATCCAAACAGAAGTGTCCTAGCCCAACTGTGCTACAGCTATATCCAAACAGAAGTGTCCTAGCCCAACTGTGCTACAGCTATATCCAAACAGAAGTGTCCTAGCCCAACTGTGCTACAGCTATATCCAAACAGAAGTGTCCTAGCCCAACTGTGCTACAGCTATATCCAAACAGAAGTGTCCTAGCCCAACTGTGCTACAGCTATATCCAAACAGAAGTGTCCTAGCCCAACTGTGCTACAGCTATATCCAAACAGAAGTGTCCTAGCCCAACTGTGCTACAGCTATATCCAAACAGAAGTGTCCTAGCCCAACTGTGCTACAGCTATATCCAAACAGAAGTGTCCTAGCCCAACTGTGCTACAGCTATATCCAAACAGAAGTGTCCTAGCCCAACTGTGCTACAGCTATATCCAAACAGAAGTGTCCTAGCCCAACTGTGCTACAGCTATATCCAAACAGAAGTGTCCTAGCCCAACTGTGCTACAGCTATATCCAAACAGAAGTGTCCTAGCCCAACTGTGCTACAGCTATATCCAAACAGAAGTGTCCTAGCCCAACTGTGCTACAGCTATATCCAAACAGAAGTGTCCTAGCCCAACTGTGCTACAGCTATATCCAAACAGAAGTGTCCTAGCCCAACTGTGCTACAGCTATATCCAAACAGAAGTGTCCTAGCCCAACTGTGCTACAGCTATATCCAAACAGAAGTGTCCTAGCCCAACTGTGCTACAGCTATATCCAAACAGAAGTGTCCTAGCCCAACTGTGCTACAGCTATATCCAAACAGAAGTGTCCTAGCCCAACTGTGCTACAGCTATATCCAAACAGAAGTGTCCTAGCCCAACTGTGCTACAGCTATATCCAAACAGAAGTGTCCTAGCCCAACTGTGCTACAGCTATATCCAAACAGAAGTGTCCTAGCCCAACTGTGCTACAGCTATATCCAAACAGAAGTGTCCTAGCCCAACTGTGCTACAGCTATATCCAAACAGAAGTGTCCTAGCCCAACTGTGCTACAGCTATATCCAAACAGAAGTGTCCTAGCCCAACTGTGCTACAGCTATATCCAAACAGAAGTGTCCTAGCCCAACTGTGCTACAGCTATATCCAAACAGAAGTGTCCTAGCCCAACTGTGCTACAGCTATATCCAAACAGAAGTGTCCTAGCCCAACTGTGCTACAGCTATATCCAAACAGAAGTGTCCTAGCCCAACTGTGCTACAGCTATATCCAAACAGAAGTGTCCTAGCCCAACTGTGCTACAGCTATATCCAAACAGAAGTGTCCTAGCCCAACTGTGCTACAGCTATATCCAAACAGAAGTGTCCTAGCCCAACTGTGCTACAGCTATATCCAAACAGAAGTGTCCTAGCCCAACTGTGCTACAGCTATATCCAAACAGAAGTGTCCTAGCCCAACTGTGCTACAGCTATATCCAAACAGAAGTGTCCTAGCCCAACTGTGCTACAGCTATATCCAAACAGAAGTGTCCTAGCCCAACTGTGCTACAGCTATATCCAAACAGAAGTGTCCTAGCCCAACTGTGCTACAGCTATATCCAAACAGAAGTGTCCTAGCCCAACTGTGCTACAGCTATATCCAAACAGAAGTGTCCTAGCCCAACTGTGCTACAGCTATATCCAAACAGAAGTGTCCTAGCCCAACTGTGCTACAGCTATATCCAAACAGAAGTGTCCTAGCCCAACTGTGCTACAGCTATATCCAAACAGAAGTGTCCTAGCCCAACTGTGCTACAGCTATATCCAAACAGAAGTGTCCTAGCCCAACTGTGCTACAGCTATATCCAAACAGAAGTG